ATGAATCCCATAAAATTCAGTTTCCAGTGGTATTTTCTAAAGACAAAGTAATGAATAATAAATCACAATGTAACTTGACTCTCCATAATGGCTATGGAAGTTAAAGATGTGTATGTGTGACTTTTGCATTTCCCAGAAATATCTACACAAACATAAATGGAAAATGCTATAATTATGAACACAAGAAGATATTTTTAACACCACTGGTTAAAAATTTTAACACCACTGAGTAACCAAATAAAGGAAATAACCAAAATATTCATAAATAAGATATGGAAAAAAGAAATTAAATATAAACTTATGTGTTGCTTGGTGACAGGGATATGTTCTGAAAAATATGTCACTTAGAAATATTGTCATTGCCTGAGCATAACAAAGTCCACTTGCACAAGCCTGGAGCGTACAGGCTAATCACTCCTCCTGGCCTCCTGGTGAAATCAAGGGATGCAGTAAACCAAAATATATGAAGCTGCTGCTGGAGTAGCAGGGCATACTGTTTAACAAAAAAATGTGTTTTTCTGAATAAAAGAGTAAACTCTCAATTATTGATAAAAAGTATAGTGTAGTAAATACATTAACTAGTTGATTACATTTTTAATTATTATGTACTGTACATAATTGTGTGCTATACTTTTATCTGACTAACAGCACAGCAGGTTTGTTTACCCCAGTATCATACCATACTTATGCATTACCATAAGGCATGAGTAATGCTTTGTGCTCTTACATTGTTGTGGTTACAACTTCATTAGGGGAAAGGAAATTTTCACCTCCTTTATAATTTTTTTATAAATTTTTATTAGGATATATTCATTATATGGGGGGATTCATAATGACATTTCCAATTAGGCTTATATTGTACATTGGTTAGACCATCCCCATTGTCTCTCCCCCTCAACCCTCTCTCTGTCCCACGTAAAACAATTGCAAGAGGTTTCTTTGTTCTATTTCATATAGGTATATGAAGTACATCAACCATATACCCTCACCTTAATCTCCTTCATTCACTTTCCTCCCTCCCACGATTACCCCCACATACACTGTACCTGTTTTATAGTCCTGTCTTTCATTATTAATATTTAAGTTGATGTTCAAAGAGGTTTCTCAATGGGTCCCATTGTGGGTATACTTTACTTTCATTCATCCAACCCCTTCCATCACTCTACCTTATTCCTTCTCCTCCCACCCCCCATTTTCAACAGCTTCAAAACACACCTTTGTGTCCTCTACCTTCACAGATGTTATGTTTTACAATATTACTGATGCTGTATCATTATTTTTTCCTTTCCCTCTTTCTCTACTATTATAAAGATGTTCTACATATGAGTTTGTATATGATCATGCTTGTTTTTGTGTATATGTTTATCTTTAGGATCTATCTCCCACAAATGAGAGAGGGACCACTGTTGTGTAAGTAGACCATCATTAACTGAAACATCTTTATGTTGCACATGACTATGCTTCTTGTTATGTAACAGAATACTACACTATAACTATATGCAAATAGAATAATATACATTCTGTGTACCATTATTTGGGAAAAAAAGTAGGGTGCAATGATAAATCAAGTATTTCAAATTTTCAAGTTACAAAATATGTGTTAGTTTTCTGTGTAGTTTTCATAGAACAGATTCTGGAAATGTTAAGAATGCTTACCTCTTGGTAGCAAAATTATTGACTGCCTTTGTTTTAATTGTTTTAAATTTTTTTTATTTAATGGAGGTCCCAGCCTAATGCTACCTTTATAAAAGGACTTAAAGATCAGAACTACCTTCTTGTTTTGATCAAATAGTCTGTATTCTGTTTTCTTTCTTGCCTGGAGAATCTTTAGGAAGTGAAGTGCACTGTGATAGACCTGGTCTCTTTATCTAGAAAATAGAAATGCTAAAAATGAAATGTAGCCTTTCAATTTTACAAGGCAGTTTGGAGGATAGGACAGGGGAATGCATGGGGAAGTATGTTGCAAATTGCAGAATACTACACACATACCGTGGAGACTAAGATGAGAAAAGGAGGGACAAAGAGGAGAAAGGAGCAATGACTTCTTATAACTGAGATAAAAGAAAATGAATGTGACCAATGGTAATATTTGGAGACATCATTGTAACAATTTTTCTTTTAAGAAATGTAAACTTTGTATGGTGGAATTTCGGAAATTACGTGGCATTAGTCGAGACATTTTCATTCCTGTCATTAGGTTATAAAGAGATGGCATGAGCCTCCTAATGAATTAGTCAGGGTTTCTGTTCATTGTTTCTTTATGCAGAGGATGGTAGGAGAAAAATATATGTCCTCACTTTCCAGCCTAAGAAACACTCTGAGGTTATTTGAATGGTTTATGGGGGAAGTGACTGAAGCAATAAATACTTAAATGAATTATTTTAATAAAACCTAGTTAAAACACAAATGAAAACATACTGAATCATAATAATTTATTTCAAAAGCCATAGCAATCTACATGCCCTTTTGACCAAGTCAATTTCCTTTATGTCTGACCTTCAGTGCCTTCAATTTGTTAAATCAGGGTGTCAACCAAATCATCCCATAAGTTATTAAACAGTAAAGTTTCATGAGTCTCAGGTTCTATATATTCTATGCATACAGATTCTGTATAGATTATATAAATATATTCTTCTCTTCTGTATACATGCAAAATAAGAGTGAGCTAAATGGTCACCTTATTAGTTTCAAAGATATTCTGTTGACTGCCTTGCTCACTTGCTAATTGGTTTGGCTAAAAATATTTTTATGTAATATTATTATTCTGTTTTACCTAGGGAAAGTTATTTAAACTTCCACGTTTTTGTTTTGAATTGAGGCTGGGAATAAGTGAATGCATACTTCGGAGGGTCATTGTGAAGTTACATAAGATACTACACAAAAAATACCTGGTGGTACCTAGCACAGGCTATATGTGCAATGAAAATTAAGTGGTACAATTAATCTGGAAAGTTTAAGTTTCTCCTTAAATTTAGTAGCTTCTGTGACAATACTATCATTAAAATGTGAAGTGTGACTCAGATACCTGTTTCTTAGTAGAAAATTCTCTACAGAACTATATCTTACATTATCTAAAGAATGCTGTGTTCTTCCACTAAATTCCAAGTAGCTCAAAAGGTCCTACTCTCAAGACTAGATTTAGTTTCATTGCAGTATACACAAGCTAAATTCATACTAAAGTTACAAATGTAATAAAATAAACCCAAAATAATGTAATTTTTAACAAAATGATAGCGCATTTTATTAACACTTTTTTTGCTGCAACGAAATGACAGTCCACATCTCTTATTCAACACAACAAAAGTTATGGTCACATGATATCACTGTGAGACACAAAGCAAAAGTACTTTTATTTTTTTAAGGTCAGAAATTGTTTGCATGTTTAGACAAACTTTATGTTTATATTTGCAGTAGGAGGGCCTCCAGTCACTAGCACAATACAATGAACAGATCAAATATCCAGAACAAATAATACACCAATAATATTTTGCTCTGAATTGGGAATGCATTATTCTCATTTTAGAACATTATAAAGAGATCTGATGTTAACTTTTTAAAAATGAAAGTCATTCCAACCACCCAAATAGCTACCACAAGCAAAATGAAGATAATATACAGACAGGAAATTTATGCATTGCACTTATTGCTCGGTACACAAATGTTGCAATTCCCATTGAGTTATATTAAGAAATGACAAGCAAAATGCCTCTTCCCCATCTAAAATTCTAGACTCTATGAAAGTAGAAATTGCAATCCCCTAACCCGACATTAGGTGTATGCTATTTTTGGTTTTGTGTGAAAATTGTTTATTATGTTTTTGTGTGTGTATGGATATGTATAAGATATACAGATATATATAGATATAATTTTCATATAATTTTTATCTATATATTTAAGACAAAAATCTCTTAAATGGGATTTTAAATAATAAAATTGTCTACTTACAATATCGCTATTAAGTTTATCTTTTCATATTATATATAGCTCTGTGGCACAAGTTTCATATAGCTTTAATTATTAAGGACGAAGGATATCTAAACCATTTTCTATTTCTTTTGTTGTTAATATTGCATTTTAAGGGCTCTATCTTCATAGTAAATTTTCATTAGATTCTGTATGGTATACATATATCTTTTTTCCTAATGCAAGTTACAACCAGTACAAAGTTGTAATAAAAAATACATTGAAGTCTATTTTTATAATTTTTTGCAAAAAAGTTATGTGATATACTACATGAAAAGTTGAATTTATTGAAATGTGAAGTGTTTCATACTGTCAGGTAACAAATGGAAGAACATGAAGCATACCCCTTTACTTTACAAGTTCTCTTTCACAAAAATAAGTGTTTGTGCCCAAGCATTTCATATAAACACTGCAAGATATTCTTTTTGAGGATCACAAAATATCCCACATTATGCAACTCCAGTAACTGTTCAGTACATTTTGCTAAGCTTTTAATACATAATATACTTCTCCAATTGAGAGATACGTTAGCTCCACAATTTACATTTAATAAATGTTACCAACACCTGATGCAACCGATTTAACAGTTTCATTATTTTTTAAAACAGGACTTCTGTATGATATCTTGCAATTCAGTGTAATAAATACATAAGTGCATTTTGCATGATCAAGTAGCTTTGGCTTCCTAAATTCTGTAGGATGAGATGTGCCGACTGTTAAGAGTTGTGCTTATTAAATGGTGATGAGTTTTAGGTCATATGAATCCAATGAATCGCTACTTGTTTCTACAATGAACCAGTAAATCACAAACGCAAGAATGGATAACTTGAATGGAAATGATGTAACTTCACAACTTCTACAGATTGCAATTGATGGTAATTTCATGGGTTTGTTTCTTTTCATGGGTTTGTCATTTTTACAGCAAGAATTGCCTGGTTGATATGTTTACATGTTTACACCACATTTTTTTAAAGTTTTTGTGCAATCACAATTAATTTAATCACAAACACTAAAAATAAATCCAGCAATTAGTTCTGTTATGAATAATCATCTCGGTCCTTATAGGTATATGTATCTTGTACCTCTTCTTGTACAAATTCCTCTTTCTTTTCCCAACCATTGGGCCAACCTCCATTGGCCTGTGTTGTGGCACCATAAGATTTTGTGGTACCATAATTTATATAATTCTGAGTAATGTCCCCTGTTTCTTCATCAAGTTCATCTTCATGGATGAAGCCACATTTTTCTTCACTTGTCTCCTCAGGGTCTGCCCAGGGTTGTTTCTCCCCTGAGGCAAATATTGCATAAAATATAACTCCACCATAGTGGACAAGGGCAGCAATCAGGAAGACATACTGCCACTCTTCACGTGACTGTGGTGACAAAAAAAAGTTACTATGAGATCAAGGGTAAACACAACAAGGGGATTGGACTTTGATCACATGATAAAGCGAGAGCACACAAGGGAGGTGTGAGGATAGGTAAGACACCTAAAAAACTAGATAGCATTTGTTGCCCTCAATGCAGAGAAACTAATGCAGATACCTTAAAAGCAACAGAGGCCAACAGGAGAAGGGGACCAGGAACTAGAGAAAAGGTTAGTTCTAGAAGAGTTAACCTATAAGGTAACACACATGTACAGCAAATCAATGCGAGTCAACTCCCTGTATAGCTATCCTTATCTCAACTAGCAAAAACCCTTGTTCCATCCTATTATTGCTTATACTCTCTCTTCAACAAAATTAGAGATAAGGGCAATTAGTTTCTGCCTGGTAGTGAGAGGGTAAGGAGGGAGAGGGAGGGGGTGGCGGGGGAGGGAGAGGTTTGAGAAAGGGGGGAGAAAAGACCCAAACATTGTATGCACATATGAATAAAAGAAAAAAAATGGTACTATGAGAATAAACGCCTGAAAATCCTAACATTTTCTCCTAATGCTCCACATGACACTTTTCATGAAACACTGTCTTTGGAGAAATCGAGATTCTAATTATGTAAAGCAAATACTTTTATAGAAACTTTCTATAAAACTGTTTATTTCATTATTTATTTTAAGCTAGATGTTTGGAAATAAAATTTCAAATATATCTATAGCTTGATGATTTTTTAAGATATTAATAATCTGTTTTTTGTTTCCATTGATTTAGCTATAGAAAAAAAATAAGTGTGTTCTTATGTAGCCCAGGCTGGCCTGGAACTCAAGATTCTCCTGCCGCTACCTCTCAAGTGCTAAGATTATAGGCGTGTACCACCATACCTGGTTCTCCATTGATTTATTGTTTTAAACTCACTCTTTTTGTTTATTTCCTTTGTTAAGCCATAATTTTGAAGTACTACACTTACATACTATTATTAATATTCTCCCATGGACAACTCCAATGGAGTCTAAATTGATGTGTACAAATAAATCTGAGAAAACTTCTGTTTAATAACTTAGGGTGGAAAGGCTTTTATGTCACAATAGGTAAATCAGCAATATCTAATAGGTACAAGGCTCTAGGTTCAATATCCAGTACTGAAAAATAAGTAGGTATTAGAAAGGTTCTGAGAAATATCTTGCTTATTGATTGGGGGGAAGTGGATTTTTTCAGAGATCCTAGAGAGATATTTTCTTCTGGGCCTCCTTTATCTTTCTTACTTAGAAGTGTGGTGACTAAACTAGAAACACATGCAGGGGAGAGCATAGTAATTCTTTCTTACGCATGACAGAGATCTTCTACAGTTTATAATCTTTCGTGCCATGTTTTGATTGCTTTGCTTGAGGGTATAATGGGATGGAATGAGGTATGATTTCTTATTCAATAGTTAATATGTGATATTTATTCCACAGAGTGGAAAGAAGTTTCTAATTGTCAGAACAACCCAAGCCAAACATACAGCAATCAATAATGAGACATAGAAACCCGTAAGTAAGAGAGAAAATCTGGAAGTAGTACCGAATCTAAATAATTTCTTCTAAATGTTGTGTTTGACTGTTAAATGGTTAAATGTCTATCTATCTATCTAGCTACATATATACATATAGTCACTAATAAAGATCAGAATATCACATATACAAAAGCCATGTATCTTACCAGATATAGCAAATCCACTGAATCCTACTGCAAGTACCAAGAATGAAATGGCTACCCCTCTAGTATGAGAATAGCCAACAACCAGAAGCAGTGTGGCTTCCATGCCAAAACCTTTGGAAGAAAGTACATGGAAATATTTCAAAAATTTGTATACATTTTATAGATGATCCAAAACTGCTAAAAATGTTCGTTGACATAGACATTTGGTTCAGAGAGCCTTATTAAAATTAACAATAGCAATTATTTGTATCAGAGATCACTAAGACTTTCCTTGAATTAAATAAAAAATAACACAAAAGATAACCTAAAGTATCATGATAGTAATGGTTAAGTTAGTTAAAATAAGTACAAATGACATTATTATTCAATGATTTAAAACTAATTGTTATGAAGATTTGAAAACAGGAAAATGACTAGAAATCAAAATGAAGGCATAAATTGAACTGCATCTAACACAAAAGATAACCTAAAGTATCATGATAGTAATGGTTAAGTTAGTTAAAATAAGTACAAATGACATTATTATTCAATGATTTAAAACTAATTGTTATGAAGATTTGAAAACAGGAAAATGACTAGAAATCAACAATGAAGGCATAAATTGAACTGCATCTAAGCAGTTCCATGCATTTAGAACCATTACCCACCTACATAGTCCAGAACCTATTGACCTAGAAGCATTTCCTTGTTGCCATGGGTGCACTTACCACCACAATTCATGATCTTTCTCACTGTAGTAGTTGAAAGAATTTGCTTGCTTCTTAGGAAATCTGCAATTTGTCCTCCAATAGGTACAATGATTGTCATGACTAAGTGTGGCACAGCAGATAGCATGCCAACCTGATGAAAAATAAGAATGGAGAGAAATGTACATGACCAAAAATAAGTGAGCAATTTAATTTCCCAAGCTTTCTGAATCCATCATCAACTCTTTATGAGCAAAGAAAAGCAAAACATTGTTGCCTCAATTGACCACTTACTTACTCATTCCTAGGGTGAGGAGTAACTTCTACAGAATAGACAATGAAAGCTAAATAAATTCACTTTATACTTTTTTGTCCTCTTGAAGAAGGAAATTTTTTATTGCTGCTATGACTCAGTAAATTTTGAGTTCATCAATCAACTATTCTGAAGCTTATCACACAGTGATTCACCTTTGTCCATTTTATGTTATTAAATGTGTCATTTAAGAACGTAAGACTGCATTTAAAAATTAATTTTAATTCATAAGGCTAAAACTGCATATGCATTTAATATATAAATCTATTCATATATGCCTTAAGAGTTTTGTAAGATTGATTTAATTTCTATACAGTAAAAGTCCTGATAATGCAATTCAGTTCTTCAAGTTTTGGTATTTTCTGCCAAACATCAACATGTGGACACATTGTCATACATTGGTATACAGTTTCTGAACTGATTTCATAACAATTAGCACAATCTACAACCTAACCCACAAACATCATTTCCACATGTTTCAACTATTAATTATGTACAAAGCACTGTTATGTAGGTATTATGGGGGCACAAAGCACAAATAAAATGCATTAAATTGTATATTACTATATATATGGATATAGAAAATTTGATTGTAAAAATATCAAGAAGTTTCTAAGTTTACTTTGAAGCATAATTTTTGGTATAGGTAAGGTATAGGTATAGGTGCTTATTATTTATATTTAAATACATCTTTCCAATTAGATTTTTGAAGGTATGAAACAAGGTCTCCCTTTTGTTTTATAGTGATGTATAGTGTGCTGTAATGATCAGTGACTTGAGTCATTGTGATGACTAACCAAGATAGCAAATGGCACTCTGGTAAGCTTAACTGTTCAGGCTGGTTAGCGCTCTCTTCCACCCAAGATGGAAGCATCTGGAGCTCTTAACCCATATGCTTAACACCAATGTCAACCAAGAAAGAAAAATGGAATAAAATTAGATGATATATGTGAATGTACTTAGTTTAGTCCAAAACTTGGCATTTAGTAGGGGCTCGACACATGTGAATTAAATAAAGTTGTAAAATAAACTGACATTGGGGCAAACATTTTTTTAAGAATAGTGTCTTGAAAAAAAATACACTGGCTTTTTATTCTTAGTTGCAGTAGATAGATTTCAAACAATCCATGTGTAGAAAGAACATATTTTTAAATAATACATATGAAGCCCACTAGGTATGGATTTACATAGAATTATATGCCGTGTTTTTGATATTCATAAGTGCAGGCAAAATCTTGGGAGTGGCTGCATTTTCTATGTCCACAAAATTGGCTTGCATTTTGATTCAGTATCTGAAAAAATTCTTCTCTTTTGTTATTTTTCAGGTAGGCTTGCTGCCCAAGGCCACGCTCAGACTGTGATTTTCCTATCTACACCTCCTATCTGGGATTACAGATGTGCACCACTCTTTTAATCTTACTCTTTCTGCAAATGGATTTGTGCAAAACACTGTGGAAAATTCAAAGAGCTAACCAGGTAAGAGAAGATTAGAAAATTTTAGAGTACTGATTTAGTATTTGAAGTTGTGGAGTGTCCTAGTTTCTTAGGCAGTATGTGGATAGTATATATGTAACTTCAACAGGATCACATAAGTTTCAAAACCTCATGAAAGTTATTCAAGTGTTGTCTCAGATGTGGTTACATAAAAAGCAATCATTCATCACTTGATGAGAATGATCAAAGTTTTCTTAGAGTGTCAGTATCTAATGATAACCACATGGGAATTTTTCGTTATTTTAAGTTTATTCTGCATAGAAATTCCAGATCCTCAGACTTTGGTCCTCCTTTCCTCTGTTTCTCTAGTAAAAGGATTGCATCTCTCTCCATCTGATACACAACAGCAAAGTCCAGCCATTCAACCTTATTTTCCTCCACAATAAATATGAAGCTCTAGAGAAACAAGGTCTCCTCTCATTTGACCATGGTCCCCATATTCTGACTTTTAAATGTGTTGCATAATCCCAGCATTGGCTTCCTCTGCTATGCCGTTCTCAAAGGGGTTGAAAAGTTTTACATATTGGTATAAGCTAATATAGATGCATGTATATGCATCAGCTAACTAACATAGTTTACTAATAGTAATTAGAACAGTTTGCTTACATAGTTACTTTGCATGCATCCACATTTTAGTTCTAATATATTACATATAACTGTACAATACAGTCAATGCATATTGTTTATATATACATATATACGTTAGTTCTGTGTTGACTGAGCCAGTGCACTTGGACTGAAGTTTAAGCCATTGTACTTGCAGTTTTATCTCTAAAACAACCAACTTAATGAAGGTTTGAGAGAACCACCTTCCGTGTCATTTATTTCATGTAAAATTTGCTGCACTTCTGAAATTGTATTTTAATATAATTATTTGTAGATAAGAAAATTGAGGCTGACCATTATTCAAAACCTGGCCCAAGATTGTACACCAATACCTTTTTGTAAAGCCTGGATTCAAAGACACATCAGCCTAAGATGCAAAGTTTCCACTCTACATCCTGCATTACCTCCTCTACACATTTTTTCAGATAAGTCAGACACTTTTATTTTTAACAAGTCTAATCATTATCTTCAGGACAATGTTTGTGTAGAATGTATCTAAAATTTATTTTTAGTTAAAGATATAATAGGTGAAATAAATAAACAACCCATCTGTATAGTTTATTTAGTTTTTCAAGATATCATTGACTCTATTCAAGCATTTTCAATTAATTGGAGATACAGGGCTAACATGACTGCACAGTTTCATTAACATCAGCTGGCTCCTTCTCTCTCCTCCCGCACATGAAACCTGACTTTATTAATAGCCTCTCAGTGTCATATTTGTCCTAGATTATGAAAATGGACTCACACCTCCAGCAGTCTTTGTTGAGAAGTGTAACACCTCGCAGTGCTCCCAAAGGCTGCCCTGCAATGTTTGATCAGCTCCTGAGAGAAGAGCCCTGTCTAAAACAGCCATTCTTCTCAGAGATAGAGGAAACAGTTTCCTTAGAAACAGGATTACAAAAGAGCTTTTAGAATAGCTACTCCTGAACTCAGATTTTCTTCAGTTCCAGGCCTCATACAGTCTTTCAAGTACAGACATAATATGAATAGTGAGAGCCCAGCTGGACTTACGTAACAACCTGGAGAGAAATGGCGAGACCATTACCAGCACAGCCAAATGTGTTCAGGCCTAAGCAAAGGGCTTGGCACAGAACTGGCACTCAATACATACTTAATGCATGAATTCTACGGTTTACCTGAATTTTAATACTAAAGAGAATTAAAATAAAAATCTAATGACATGGCCTTAACTTGATTTTGGCACTTATTACTAGTATGACTGTAGGTAATTTAAATCATTTCCCTAGTTTCTGTTTCACCATCAGCTGAATAGAAATGATGATGGCTATGTAACTGATCAGCTAAATCAAGTTGGTCATGAAGACAAAACTTCCAATCCCTACATATAGTCATATTTTAAAGTTTGTTTACCCTTATAGAAAAATCTGAGAGTTATTTTATTTCCATAGCTATGCATAGTACTCAGCATGTTGTGGTATAATTGGAAATTTAGTTTTTTGTCTACACCACCATGCCTGGGGATAGAAAACCATGATTTTATTTCTGAATCTAGCAGCAAATTTCATATATTATATTCAACAAATGCTTGTTAAATTAATAAATCAGATGAATATCATGTCTGAAGATTTTTTTACTTTATTTAGATTGCTAACCTTACATTTTTTAACTGGACAGGTCTCTGAGAATATTGAAGGATTAGACTTGTAATTATCTAAGTACAATTCCATTTGAATAGCATACCTTTTTGTCCATTCCACACCAATTGAGATGTAAGCTACATGAAGACAGAGACCAGACTGTTCTGTCCAGATTCCCAGCACTAGACAGCAATTTCTACCAAATGATAGGATACAGAAAAGTACTCAATACCTTCCTTATTCTCTATTTCCCAACATTTATTTGTTAAGTAAATAAATGATAACTCATGAAGGCTAGAAAAATGAACTCTTGGCAATAGACTCTAATACAAAAATTATCCACTATTTAAATAAGGTTAATTTTTACATACCTTGCTGATTTCAAATCCAAACACTTCCTCAAAATATGCTGGCTGACTAATAAGCAATAAATAAAAAGTCCAACTTCTACAGAAGTTTGCAACAATTATTGCATAGACTGGCATAGATGTAAAAAATTTCCTCCATGGAGTCTTGAATTTCTGAAATCCCAAAAAGAGTTATTCTGAATACTTTAAATATTTTTTAATAAATTGGATGAGTGCTTTGTGTTTTGCATTTTCAGGACACACATGATGGAGCATGAATAGGAAGTAGGCAGGAAGAAATGAATTGATAATAACAACCACCCAGTTAATATTAACTGTATGAATAATCATTGGAAGGGAAAAATAAAAGATCAACCTCTTCTTGTGATTAAATTAAAGCCTCAAAAATATGCAAAAGTCCATATTTACAGAAAATTAATTTGAAAAGCATATTTTTCATTAGTTTTTTCAGCTACTTCTCACTGCCTCATCAGCAACCTTGTGATTGTCCAAAATATTTTATTTAAATGTTGAAAATTAAATGTATTTGGAGCCAGGGAAGATGGAAAATTTAAGAATACAGTATTCTAGATCCTCTCTGAAGTCACTTATGTCATTACCTATCTATAAGTTCTCTTGATAGCTACAGCTCTCAATCCATTTTGTGACACTGGAGTGCAACACCCCAGCACTCACCACTTGTTTTTGAGTAGCTACCTTAGAAATTATCAGGCCACTCACAGAAAGAAACAGGAGGGGAAAGCTAGTGCTGATCTGTCTACAATGTATGGACTTAAAAATAAAAACATGGAACTTTTACTTGTGAATGATATCTAACATGAGATTGTTCTTATTTATTAAAGGTCAAGATATGTACCAAAAATGGGTGGCAAACATTTGTCTATGATGGGAAGTCAAAGACACGTGTTCTCTAACAAATGAAATAGACACATAGTTGAAAGCAAATGCACTTAGAATGAGGGGAGGACATTAAAAAATTTGAGCAGATGTAACATGTGTATAGGGTCTTTGTTCCTAGACCAGTGCATCATATCTTCCAACTTGAGCATAAAGAAATGGAATGACTGGTAAAGATGCTGAATTACTGAACCTGTCTATGTACACTGCTCATGAAAACTAGTTTTTTCTTTTTTCAAATATAAGATAATATTTATTAATTTTTGCACATGCATATTAATGTCACATGGGGTAAAATGTTTACATTATTGAAATAGAACTATATTTTCTCTGTGTTTAGGAAAATCCTAAGAAGTCAAATCATGAGAAAGCTTCACAAAATTATTTTTTAACACTTTGTATTCATAATAATTTTAAAAATGATGACTTTTTTATAAGAAGATTAAAATATATTTAATTATGTAAGCTCTCTATTACTAGCATTCTAATGCTTTGATAATTCCTAAATCATATGTAACAAGTGCACATGAATAAACCCCACATTTAGAATATTCAGTAGGCAAATTAGTCTGTTTTGTGACTGATTTGAAATTATCTATAATTCAAAATTCATTAATTTTGATTGAATTTGTTTAAACTGTGGACCCATACTGAACTATTTTTTTAATTTGCTTTGTTTTATTGTTAGAACTATAATCCAAAGCAGATTTTAACACATTTAAGAAAAGATAATGGAATAAATGAAATTATAGATGAAGTAGCAATCATTCTGAAGGGAGTCAAAGAATATAGGTGAACAAAAAAAAAGAAGTGAAAATTGATAGCAAATTAATTTATTCAATAGGGAGTTAGTTATAAAATAGTTCTTCAAGGAAAGTGAGATGGGGGAAAAGGAATAGGAATATACACCATGATAAAGTTCTTACTTCCATTGCACCTAAAAGATTTGCACTCTCTCCAATGCTCTCTTCTATGTACCTACGTTCTTCATCTGTAATAGTAGGATGCTTTGCAGGGCTCTCGTAAGATACCAAAAGCCAAAACATATACCAGACCATTCCAAAGCTTCCTGAAAGAAACAATTCAAAAGAAAGAAGTCAAAGAAAGTCATCACAAATACCTCCATTTAACATTTATATGCTGAAATGAAAGTACAATAATCTCATGACAAATTCTATATGATGGAGAATTTGAGTTTAAATTTATCCATCTGACAGCCATTTCTTCTTGTCCTTTGGAACCATATTTCAAATTTCCTGAAGGCTGGTCCTGTGGCTTTATTTTTTTGTCTATATTAGACAACATGGATACACTAGAATTGCACAATAAGTAACTATCGAATGGTATAGTTTGGAAGGTATTCATTAATCCAGCAAATATTTACTGAGTAATTCATATTCCAGGTACTAAGCTGAGAGAGATATAACAAACAAAACAAAATTCCTATCCTCAAAAAATTTTATAAGGTTTGAATCTTTTCTTACTTGTCTGCTTTGAATAAAAGTGGTCTGCATTTCTGGAGAAAAAAAAAAAAGTGCTCATTTCCCTTTCCTGTTAGCAATTCCAGATCTAGATTGTTAAATAAAATCCAAAAGAGTGTTTTAGCCTGTGGCCATATTACATGAAAAATAAGCCTCTGTAATTAACATGGTAACATTCTACATTATACGTACCTACAAACCACAATATTTTAGCACATAATATTGCCTATTGGTCATTCTTTGAGAAAATGAAAGTTATAAATTCCAAGGCCATAAAATAACTGTTTACTCATTTATCATTCTTGCCATCAAGATATGTTCTTATTGTGCAATATAAATCTGTAAGCATTAATAAAAGAATTTTAAAAGATTTATTTTGCTTTCCTAGCATCTGGACATTTCATTTTTCTCTTATACTGCTCTCTTTGCCCCTTGAGTAACAACCTAAGTGCACTTGATATCTGTAATACTTTATTTTTGCTTATTCAATTGGTAAAAGGTGCTCCCTAATACATAGCTTCTGATGTACTGTGTTCCATTTAATTACTGAACATAGAAGCAAACAGGATTTGAGGCCAGATAGTGCATGAAATTGTTGTATTATGTGGTGGTTATAGACTAGGACCCTTCCAGATTCAAATCCTGACTGTGTCACTAATTAGCTATATGATTCAATCACATGTATCTCATCTAACATAGTGAATGGTACAAATTAAGCATCCGATAAATGAAATTTCATATAATTTAGTAATAATTATCATTACCAATGAATTCATCTAAGGTGCTATATACTTGGTTAATTGCTTTGCATACATTCTTTTTCTCACTTTATCATACTATTCAAGTTTTTCTCATTAATTTTAAAACGCAAAATTGAATGTGTAACTCAAATTGACCCAATTTTTGTTACAGAGAGCAAGTAACCATGTACTCTGGTTATAATTTCAGGTTATCTAATATTTATACTTTGTATCATTTGATTATAAATATTAAATGAAATATAATTTAAAATAATACTTGTTCAAATTAGCATCATTTTTCACCAAAAAGAAATGATTAATGCTAGAGATGTATTTATCACTATAAAGTCACATCATATTCTCCATTAAGTAAAGAACTCAAGCACAAATCAAAGGACTTCATAAGCAGCCATGCAAATTGCTATCATATACCCTATAAACAAGTGCTTTTAAGCATTGTTAATCATGGATTCCTTTGAAAACCTCCCTAGGAAAAAAAAGTATACCAAATGTGGCTTACAATGTATGGCATTCATGGGTCCGAAACCTATCATTATTTATTAATTTTTCTATTATTGTTGTACTGGAGGTGCATTGTGACATTTACCAAAGTTATTACAATATAACATACTTGAATTCACCCCCTCCACCATTCTCCTTTATCTCCCCTCCCCCCTCCATTCCTGCAATAGTTTCAATAGGTCTCATTTTTCTATTTTTCATACATAATATTTATACCATATCATTTAAACTACCAAAAGAGTCCCCTTATAAAGTAACATTTGATAGCATTCTGCAAGGAGAATAATTTGCCAAAATGAGAACACTTCAAAATGAGAATGAATCAGGATAAATTTGGAAGCAGCCAGATACTGTTCTACATCACGACTTCATTAATCTTTCATATTCCCAAGCCTATATCCAAAGATGACATTAATCAGTGACAATATCTGCTGGAATCCAGCTGTCTAATTCTTCTCCTTTCCCCATTATTCAAAGTACACCTTAGAGGGAAAGACTTTAGGGATACTTTGAACTGGTAAGCATTCAGTTCCTTGTCAGCATATTTAGATTAGGGTTTCATTTTTATTTTAATATAGGATGCTTAATTGCCTTTAATGCTGGGGAAATGCAAACTAAGATGTACTCCTGTACCAGGTGATTACTGATTTTGCATCACAAAGTGGAATTGGTGCACCTTTCTACCCTTATTCAGTCCTAAAGAGGAAGAATCAAGGAAATGACCAAAAATCAAAAGTGAAAAAGAGGTATGTTGCTACCTAACCCTTTCCTTCTCAGCAAGTTTTAATCAGGAACTATTCTTTTCATAATCAAAACAGTATATTCCATATATTACAAAGTTTCTATAAGCAATACAGTTTCTTTTTAAAACAATAAATCGCAGTGCAGATAAAAATATTTGCTCTTCCCAGAATATAAAAAAAGATTCTTAAGACAAGAAAATAAATGAGTGAACAAAGAAATACATTCAGTGATATATCTCATTGCCAGCAACCATGTTCCTCTTACCATATATGTATATATATATAAAGAAATGTTACATACCATAGACGTAAAATACTGAAGACCAGCCAGTGTATTGTACAAGAATACCAGCTAAAGGCATTGCAATCACAGCCCCAGCATAGGAACCTAAAGGAGAAGGAAGGATGGGAGGAAAATAAGTAAAATCAGCAGAAATTTTTAGTTGGTTCACACAAACTTACTTAGGTACATGTGCACTCACACAATACTACCACCAAGCACATAGATATGCCTACATATCTGTACAGAAAGCAAATAACACCCACCTATACAAGACAAAACAGAGATTTTAAAATAACAAAAGGGACTTGCTGATTGGCTTGTGTCCTATAAAACCCTTTGTTGGGCTGGCTTACCAGACACTAGAAATCTGTTCTTGAAACTCAAGTATGTATCTCCTTACAGCATAGCCACACAGTCTTAGTTTTGTATGGTTTTTTCTTTTACTTCACTTTCAAATTTATTATAGATGATTCTGAATACAGTGTTTTATATGTATAGGCAAAAATGCCAATATCTTTGCCCTATGAATTAAGCCCAAAACATTTATGAAGTCAACATCTACAGGCAATAACATTGCTAATCCTTTATTACAGTTTAATTATAGAGGAAAATTACCAAATTTTCTATGGGTAGAATTATTTGCAGTAGTTCTAGTTTATATTCTGTTTTGGTCTGATTTGGAAAATGAATGATTTTATTGATTTACAGGTTTGATATTATAATGAAAATCATGAGCACTCTGAGGTCAAAATTACCTTAAGTCACATCATATATATATATATATATATATATATTTTTTTTTTTTTTTTTTTTTTTTTTTTTTGGTGGTACTAAGTCATGAACTCAGGGCCTACACTTGGAGCCACTCTACCAGTCCCTTTGTGTGATGGGTTTTTTCAAGATAGGATCTCACCAACTACCTGGGCTGCCTTTGAACTTTGATCTTCCTGATCTCTACTTTCTGAGTAGCTAGGATTACAGATGTGAGTCACCTACACCCAGTTCATCATTTATCTTAAGATTTTTTTTTAAGTTAAGCATGGAAGAAAAAATTGTTTGAGATTGGCTGAAAGAGCCCTAAATTCTAAAAATTGAAGTTGAAATTAATCAATTTTATTTCTTGAAGCAACAGTAAAGTCAGTTTTGTTCCCTAAAATCAAAGTTTTACTAAACAGAAAATTATATTAATAGTACTTAGGAGAATAGTTGGAGACCATATTTATTTTAACAATGTTATTAGGCTCTACCGAAATGGATTTCAGTAGGCTCTACTGATTTGGATTTCATTAATTTTGTCCACAATAATTCTAGCATATAACTGTATAAAATACAAATTCTAATAAGCAGCTAGATTTTAGTACCAGACAAGGTTCAAAATAAAATTAATGTCTGCAAACATAAATCCATGGTCTTAATTTCTTTATATTTTTCACTTTATAAACATATTTATAAGCTGCATTATTTGTTTTGTATATATTTATATCTGATCATAAGAAAATGAAATAGTATTGAGATTCTCATGAGAATAATAAAAGCATTATAAAAACCATCCATGAATATAATAGAAAATCTAGATGAAATGGATCATCTGCTAGGAAAATACAAAGCACAGAAGAAATAGAGGGTTAAAGCACACCAATAAGAACTAAAGAAATTGAAATAGTAGTTAAAAAAACCTTTCCCCCTTCCCAAACCCAGATAGTTTAAAAGTGAGTTTACCAAACTTTTAATTTTAACCATTTTCCTAAATTTTGCCAATCATAACTACAGCTGCACACAGTACTCACCACAAAAGGAGGTGGTCGCCAACCGACTCCTCTCCAGAGGAGGAGCCCATTTGCTCCATATCCCATGACAAGCTGGGTAGGTGACACCCTGTGATGCGGAATACAAATGCTGCCATTTAAGATGCAGGGCACTGGAAAATAAGCAGGGCCCCTTCTCTAAAGCTGTTTCCTATAGGATGAAAAGCTGCTCTTCATGGGCCCTCATTGGCTCCATACAGTTCCATTTAGAAAGCTTTCAATCCATACCACATTTGTATAGTGGCCTATGGAAATGCTCCCCACCCTTCAGGTCTTTCTTCCACTCCAAATTCCTTCTGATTAAAGCAAAAAATAAGACCTGATATTAATCAATTTATCTGAAATTTTTAACAGTTTGTGAATTTGGGAGACCTTTCTGTGAGGCATTAAATCCAGTGATTCCCAAGTATAAGAAATCTATACAAGAGTAGGTGAGCTTAGATATTGGAACACACATGTCCTGGAAATAACACCTAGAATTTAAGGCATTAAATCCGCAGACTCATGGAACAAGAGCCAATCATTAGAGTAATACATGCCAAAAGAATATATTCAGTGAAATATTTCAGTGATAACTTATATCATGATTGAAGGCCAACAGGGACTTAGTAAAGAACTCCCAAGAGCCCCGGATGTAACTCAGTGGTAATGTCTGCCTAGCATAAGTCAGGCCCTGGATTTGTTTTCTAAATATCTGATCACCCAACAGTTCCAATGTTTCAAGTTTTTTTAACACTGTGTAGTACAACTTAATAAGATATATTTAGTTATAGATGAAAACAAAAATAACTTAGTGGTTCTTAATAACACACTGACTTAAAAAGATATCTTCTGGTTCCATACCTCAACAAGTCCCTGCAATATTCTAACAAAGATGACACATCCATAATGCACTCTGGCTGCTGATGGGATTAACATATTTAGAGTAGAGGTAAGAAGTATGGCAGCTCCAAAAACCCTGAAATAGAAAAGATGGGAAAACTGTTTAAACCATTTAAACTGTAGAACTAGTCTCTTGCAGACATGGTTTAGGAACAGCTAATGTGTTTCCAGCAACTGTTATCAAGTCACACATTGGATCTTTCAGTTCAATCAAAGTTGGTTGCCTCATAGAAACTCTAATTATTCCAGGAGCACGTTCAAACGCAACTGTTAAGAACATGGATTTCTGAAAGGGACCCTGATTATTATTAATCTGCTACTGAATTTATAAATGAATTTATGAAGGACTGAAGCAGAACAACTGTTTTCTATCCATCATAGACCTGTACAAATATTTCCTGTAAAAATATATGCAGTCTATTTTCTGCAGCAACCTGGTGGCTTCTCTCCACTGAGGTAAACAGTCAGGCATAAGGTGAATATTCTGTTCCATTCTTCCTCTAATGTGTCTGATGAATAGGTAAGTTTGGTTTCAGTGAAAGACAGTATTGCATGCTGAGATATGGGCGGAAAAGAATTTTTTATCCAAGTTTATCCAATACATGTGTCTTATATTATTTTGGAGGTACAGAGCATAAATTTTATTTTCTACAAATATAACTTTCTCTCATCACTGTCTATCTCCCTCTTTGAAAAGTTTTTAAGTAGTTCTGTTACAAGATAAGCTGGTGAAAAATAAATTTTACCCATTTGTTAACTTAGAATCTCTCAGCTTCTGCACTACTAACACCTCGAGCTGGATAATTCTTTGCTCTGGGGTACCTGTGTACTGTGTGATGTGCAGCAGAATCTCTGAAATTTACCCACTAGATAGATGCCTGTAGCATGCTCTCACTCACCCCTAAGATTCAATAACTAAGACTGTTGCCATCAATTGCCAAATATCCTCTGGGAGAAAAAAAATCATCCTTAGTAGAGTTGAATCAATTATATATTGTTGTTGAAAGGCCACTATTTAATGAGCATTTATTTACTTGATGGACACCAGCCTAATATTTCACATGTCATAAGTTCCACAACCACCTAGTAATGCAATTACGTAGGTATGGTTAATATGCTCTATTAAAGATAAAGAAACTAACACATATAAATAAAGACTTTTTCAAGTTGTTAATTAAGTTCAATCCAGTTTAGTCTTATTTCAAAACCAGTTGGTGTTCATGTTAAGATTAACATCTGACAATGCATATACTATATAGTTAGGAATGTATTTCAGGAATCTAACTATGAGTTTAATAATAATCTTCACACACCTACCTAGCAGGTATTGTGGTTCATGCCTGCAAATCTAGCACTTAAGAGACAGAGGCAGGAAGATCAAGATTTCAAGGCCAGCCTGGGCTACATAATGAGGCTTTGCCTCGAAAAAAAAATCTCCACAAAACCTACTTGACTTTTTTTTTTTTTAACAGTACTGGGGTTTGAATTCAGGGCTTCATGCTTACTAGGCAAGTGCTCTACCACTTGAGCCACTCCACCAGCCACAAACCTACTCAAAATCATACTTCTATTCCTGAAATAATATGTCAATAGATCACCTTCAATGTTTATTTTCCACACTTCCCCTGAATAATGTTTTAATTATATAGTCACAGGACATAGTCTAAATGCTTATATGTTCATTAATTCTTTTAACTATCCTTTTTTATTAATAGCTACCATTGTTTCTGAAAATGCATTGACTTTAACTGGTTGAGAATAAAATCCATCAAACTTTGCATAACCTCAGGTTGTTTAATTTTATATAGTTATTATTCAAATTGATTTGCAAGTATTTGAAATTCAGATTATCAAAAGTCTTGTCCTCTGTGAGAAGCCATTGTACTTTTTCTTGCCATGTAGTCAATTTGTAGGAGCTTCCCCACTCAGCATTCATTCATTCAGACTTCAAATCTTTATGAAACTATATTTGGAGTTGAATTTTATGTCAGGGAGGGCTAATATTTACAAAGCACTTACTGTACTTTTTCCATCTATATTAACACATCTAATTCTCACAGAAACTATGAGTTAGACTTTCCTCTCCTTTTATAAGGAGTAAATTGAGACAGAAAGACTGGTCAAGACAAAAGCAAGTAATAGGGCTGAGATTTGGATTCAGAGTTCTCTGGCATGAAAATCTGTGCCATCTACATGATCAGACTCTTAGAGGAAAATCAAGATGGTCCCCAGGACATTAGGAAAGGGAAACAGGGATACAAGGAACCAAGAGACAATATATGCCAATCGTCATAAAAGAAATACAAATGCAAAACAAAGGAGGGAAATATCCATTCCTGTGAGGTTGACCAGGAAGCATACTTTTCAATGGGAAACTTTCTAGCAGGGCCTTGAAAGATGAATATTTTAAAAAAAAGAAAGAACTCCAAAAAGAAGGAAGGGATCCATTAGTGTTCAAAGCTAGAAGAGGCTATGTTATGGACAGTGGTGCATCACTTAACAATAGTAATATGTTCTAAGAAATGCATCATTTGGCCATTCCGCCATTGTGCAAACAGCATGGAGTATATTTGCATGGTAAGATTGCTACATCACTAGGCAATATAATCATACGTGTATGTAGTACATCCTTGTCTGAAACATCACTATGTAACATATGACTATAACAGAAACTAGCACAAGGCAGTATTGAAAAGTACAAGCAAGAACAACTAGAATAGAATGGTGAATGAGGAGAGTTTACAGAAATATACATAGGGGGACAAGGAGGTGGAGAGTAGAGTTCATAAGTCCAGAACATCTTGGAGATGATAGAGTTTGGGGTGAATATAGGAAATGAGAGGTGATATGTCCCTAAGGTTACTAGAGTTGAAGGAGAGAAAGATATGAGTCTAGGAAGTCAAAAGTAATCAGGATCCTCATTTCAGGACAAATAATGACTTGCAGTAGTAGAAGAATAGCCAAAACCACTGACAGTGAGTGACAGGGGGGAAAAGGCTACAAAAATATGCTGTAGAATTGCTTGTATGATTCTACCATTGTCATTTAATAAGTATTTGAGTGGTAACCTCCCTAAGATTCTGATTCCTTATCTATAAATACAGCATAAATTAACAAAAAAATTAAGTGAAGGACAGGAAGGTAAAACAGGTCCTGTTGTGGGGTGAGTACCAGTGGAAAAGGAGAGGGCATAAAGAAAGGATGAAAGAAAATTATAATGGTGGAAGTATTTTGTATTCATATATGAAAATAAAACAATGAAACCTGTTGAAATTGTTCTAAGAAGGGGGAATAAAGGAGAAAGATGAAGGTGGTCAATCTAATTAAGATATATTGCAAGCATTTATGTAACTGTCACAATGTACCTCCCTGTAACACTATGATATGCTAATAATAAAAAAGAAAAGAAAAAAAAAAAGAGCAGCACTACCACCACTCCTGGATATATACACAAAGGAACCTAAGTCAGCATACAATAGCAACATCTGCACACCCATGTTTATTGCAGCACTATTCACAACACCTAAGATATGGAATCAGCCTAGGTGCTCATTAACAGATGGTTGGATAAAGAAAATATGGTACATATAAGCAATGATGTACTTTTCAGTCATAAAGAATGGAATCCTGTCATTTTCAAGAAATCTAATGGAGCTGGAGAACATTATGCAAAGAGACTGGTGGAAAGGGGAGAGAGAAGAGGGCAAAACAGGGTAGTAGGGAGGGTGGAGAAGGTTAAAGCACAATATATGTATGTATAGAAATGTCACAGTAGTAACCATTAATTCATAAAATTAATAGTGCTAATGATTATAATAAAATAAATAAGAGGAATGTGTAACAGTTAAAAATAAGACAGCAGTATACATCATAGTTAAGAACAACCATTTGAACCTTGAGCTAGATTGTCTAGGTTCAATAACCACTCTATTACTCATCACTGGAGTGACCTTGAGCAGTTTATTTAACTTTCTGTTCTTCACTCCTCATCTCCAAAATGGGAACACTAACAGAATTAATGAATTATTATACATAAAGCACAAAGAAATAAGAGTGACTGACATATCATAAGCATTTAAGTGATGTTAGAACTTATACAAGGGCAATATTAATGTATTATAGCTCCTAAGACAGCTGGGAGGCTAAGTGGAGGTCTGGGGTCTGACACATAAAAATAAATCCATAAATGTAAACAAGTTAGGTGGACACAGTAATGGTCAAGGATTTTTGAATAGTTGGTGTGTGAAGTCACTTCTAGATTTTCTTCTTAACCTAGGTTGTTTGCAACCTACCAATAACAATATTAGAAAGCTACCACTGCTAGCCCTAATTCATAGATAGAGTAATCAAGACACAGTGAGCATAAACAAATTTATAGTTCATATAGACAGTAAGCTGAGAACTGTGGCTTATATTTACTGCATGTGGTTGTGGTTCCAGATACCTAATCACTAACTTCTAATATTTTCATAGCAGCAATAATGACACTAATAATATTACTAAGAGTATCAGAAGGGAAAAGGAATCCTTGTATACTGTTGTTAAAAATATAAATTAATTCAGCCACTGTAGAAATCTGTATGGAGGTTCCTTAAGAAACTAAGAACAAAACTACCACATGGTCTTACAATACCACTCCTATGCATGTATTTAAAGGAAGATAAATTAGAATACCACACACACATGTTTATAGCAACACTATTTACAATAGCCAGACTATGGAAGCAGGCTAGGTGTCCATCAACTGGTGAGTGGATAAAGAAAATGTGATATGTGACATAATGTGATATATACAATGGAGTATTTGCAGCCTTAAAATGAAATTATGTCATTTGCAGGGAAATGATCATTATGCTAAGCAAAATAAGTCAAACTGAGAAATAAAATATTGCATGTTCTTCATCATATGCAGAATCAAGACCAAAAACCAAAAAGGAAGATATATGACACAAGTCGTGAAGCACATCAGTCTGATAGAGAGCATAAAAATCATGGGTGGGTGTCTATGATTGAATTGCTTCATACACATATATGAAAACAGAACAATGAAATCCATTAAAGAAGGGGAAAGGGTAC